TCAGCCGTACCATTGCTTTCGCGGGCAACGGCGCCCCGGTGCCGCGCAGAATAGTGCTCTTGTCTTTTAGCTTCATGTCGCTGCTGAGGATCCGCCGACGGCCCACCGCCCGCAGCACTTCTTCCGACTCAGCCGGCCTTGCAGCGCAGCAGCGAATTCAATTCCTTCTCTATGGCGGCGCGAAAGTCTTTGCGGTGTGCCAGCGCGATATCTTCCCAACTCAGCTCACGGCCCTGAGACTTGCGGTCTAGCACAGCGGACGCCGCCCCCCTGTTGTGCGCCGACATCACTTCGTGCGCAGCTCGAGGGTCGGATTGCTCGGGCCCGTCCATTCGCCGCACCGCCGCGGGCATCTCTACCGCGGCAAGCGTCGCTTCGCGCCTCCGCAGCGCGAGCATTCGATCCGCGGGGGGCCGGCTCACTTCCCTGGAATTCATCATCTGAGCCCATCGAACTCGATGCTCGGCGCAGCGCCATGTCCCTCCGTGCTTTCCAAATGTGGCACGCAGCGGCCATTGCGCCACAGGGTGCCGCGCCTCTGGTGTCACCCGTGCCCAGGCATCATACAAGCCTTGGGCAGGCTGTCCCCGTTTGGACAATGCCCAGCCCGGGGCATTTGCGCACCGCGCCAGCTCCGGGGGGAGGCCCGGGGGCAGACCGCTTCCTTGAGCAGCCCCGGAATTCGCGGCGACGCCATCCGCGACCTCGGCGTTCTCGATCTTCTGCCACAGGGTCGCCCTCCCTCGCCGAGGGCGGGGGCCCATCGCGCCCCGCCCCCGGCCGCCTCGAGGTCCTCCGGCTCAGGGTTCAGGCCCGTGAGGTCCTCTAATTCCTCGCGACTCATCGCCCGGCGCATCTCGTCGAGCGACCGGCACAGCTCCCCCTTCTTCTGCCAGGCGCTCCCCTTCGGGACTGAGCGGTCTTAGGTGTTCGCGGGCAACCAGGAACAGCCCCCCACCGCACTGCGCCCGCATGTCGTCGTTCTTTCGGCCGAACACCGTAGCAGGACCGCGCCGCTCGGGCTCGTTCACCCGCCGGCCCCTTTCAGCGCGGAAGGGCCGGAAGAAGAACACCAGTTCTCCTTCGCTCCAGTCCTTGAGGTTGCCGCGGCTCCGCGCGGCTACTGCTCTCTGGACCAGCTCCTGGGTCCGTGTCGCGATGAGGGATTGTTGGCAGTGTTCGCGGATCTTGAGCCGACTGGTCAGCGGGTCGCCTTCTTCGGTGACGAGGGGCGGTAATTCGCCGCCTTGCCCTCGTGCCGGCGCCCGCCCGCCAGCTTCATCTTCTGTCCGAAAAGCAATAGAGACGGGCTGTGGCCGCGCTGCCCAGGGCAGTGATTGAGCGCGGAGGCCGTCTCCCAGGCGAAAATCTTCATTTCGTCCAGACCGCCGTGGGCTCTGCGCTGGATGCTCTTCTTTATCATGCCAATTGCCTCCTGGATCCGGCGCTCCATCTTGCCCTTCTGCCAAGGCGCGCGCGCCGCTGTCGGGTCGCAGGCGCTTCCGCCGCGCGAAAGGGCGCCCGCAAAACTGCCGCTCGCAAGCCCCCGCTCGACGTCGGACTCGAACTGGTCGGCCCGCGACAACCCACCCATCATTATCGCCCCCGCAATTCTTCGCTGCCGCGCGCCTGTGCAAGCCCGATAACGCAATATCCCGCGGCCGCGCCCTGCGCCGACAGGAACCGCCAACCCTCGCCACTATGATCGCTGACCCTGAACAAGCCTGCCTGAACCACCTCGTTGAACGTCAGATCGTCTTCGCGCAGACGGGCGGGGCGAGGGGTCGTCTGCGCGGCCGTTCGGCGCGGCCCGAGCACCGCGTCGCCTCGGCGCCGGCAGCGGCCACCTCGGACCCCCTGCTTTCGCCGCCAGGCACGCAAGGTCGTCCGGACTGGCGCGTCCCGCGCTGATGCGCGGCCTCCTCAGATTCCGCCAGAGTTCGGGCTCCGCGCGCTATCGCATGGTCTTCCCAGCCGTCGCGCCGGGGAATTGGAGCGCAATTAAAATGGCCGCTCCACTGTCTTTCACCTGAAAAACGGCCGCAGAAGCGGCGATCTGATTTTTCTGTCGATTTGGCCCGACCTGGACGCAACGCGATATCGCAGCTTGTCTTTCGCCACATCGCTAAAACTCCAACGCCGAATTGCGCGCATGGGTCCGTAGTGCACGCCCCACCAGACCTCGCCATGTTGCACCGCGATGCGCTGCCTCATCCGCCCAGAAATGGTCGACGCCATCAGGGCCCGATTTTGCCCCCGATTTTGCGCCCGATTTTGCGTCCGATTTGCGTCCGATTTTGCGTTCGATTTGCGTCCGTTTTTGTCAGATTTAAAATCCGATTTGCGTCTGATTTATTTTAGTATTGAATCGACGCAAACAAACGGCCGCGAAATCGGACGCGAAATCGGCGCACTTCTGGGCGCACTTCCGGGCGCTCTTTCGGGCGCTCTTCCAGATTCGCGTCTGGGCCATATTCTGGGAATTCTTGATGGCGCTTTCCTGGGCGCTGCTCTCGGCGCTCTTCTGGGCTCGCCTGGGCGCTCGCCCCAGCGCGCGCCAAGGCGCTCTTCCGCGCGGTGTTCTGGTCGCCCCCAGCGCGCCTTCTGGGCACCAGGCGCGCGCCCCATTTGCACTGTGAAAACCGAAAAACCAAAATAATAAAAAGCAAATCTGCTCTGCCACCGCGGCGAGGTCACTGTCTTCTTCCGTCGCGGCCTCAGGGTAGCAAGCAACTGGGGGCCCCGCCCCCCTGAGCCCCGTGCCGGCGCGACCCGACGCGGGGCGTCGTCTGGGCCGACTGATCCTTTCCGGCTCTGAGCCTCGGAGAACCGTCGCAGCCCCCGCGGGGCCCGAAGTGCCACATGACGCCGCCGCGCCTGAAACCAGCCAGCTGGACCGCCTCCCGTCGTGACGACAGCGCACTCCATCCGGACTTCGGCGGCGGCATCCGCGCAGTTGGTGGGCCACCAAATCCGACACTGCGCGGCGCCTTCGCCCCGCCGACCCGGCGAGTCACGCAGGCCGCCGCGCGCCGTCTCGACCGACGGCTCGGCGGACAGCGCCGGGATATGGGGTCGGCGTTCCGGATCGGCGCGCAGCCTCCGAGCCCCTCCTGAGTCTCGACCATCCTAAACGCGAAGTCCTCCAGCGCTCGTTGGTTTCTCCGCCGATCCGCGCTGCTTCCTACTAGCTGGGACTTCGTTGCCGTCGAGCCCCCGCTCGGAAAATCTCGACAAACGCCGGCATCGCCAGGGCAGCGTCTCGGTTCTCTCCCCGACTCAGGTCCCCGTCGCAGGTCGCGCCCCACGGCCGCAGGCACCGCCGGCCGATCTTCGACCCTGCGCAACCGACCTCGCTCGGGCCACTCAAGAGCTCCACCGCGTCCACTCAATCAGCGCCCCAGCGCTGTTGGGCCGCCGCTGGTCTGGCGCGCCTAGTCTCCGAGCACGCCCGCGGCGAACGCGACTATCGCGAGCAGAGCCCCGAACCACTTCCTGGCCCGTTCGGCGGCCTGCCCCGCCAGGCGTCGGCCCCGGGGGACGCCGCCTCCTATCCGGCCCGACTGGCCTTCGTGGCGGCCAGCACTGGTCGCGTCGCGCGGCTCTCCGCAATGGCGCCGCAGGGGGCCGAGGGCCCCTCCCCGGGGCTCGCCTCCACGGGCGCCTCCGTTTCTATCCCCCCGGTCCCCCTCTTGAAGATCAGGGCCCTCGGCCTTGGCCCTGGGGCCGGGCGCCGTTGCTCGCGTGCTGCCTGGCGCCTCGGATGATCCCCCCCTTGTTTTGTCGAGCCCGTCCGCTCTTGTCCGCCCGATCTCTCTGATCGCAGCCTCTTCCTGCAGCTTAGCCGACGCCATCTTGGTCAAACCCTTCGGCAGGGTGGTTCGCGGATCGCCCTCCGCCACCCCCCCATCCTGGGAGGCGCCCTCTCCTCGCCCGAAGCGCAAGAATCAATTGACCAACGGTCTCTGCTTCCGCTCGATCGCGACGCGCCCCCAGCTCCTGCGCGGCCATCGCCGCCAGCTCGGCCTTGCCCATCTCAGATGCTCCGAGCGCGGCCTTCCCTCTGCCAAAGGGCCCCACTTCCGTCTCCAGGAATCCCACCGGGAGATCCTGGAACCAAGCCTTCCAGACCAGGAAGACCACATGCAGAGCTGGTCTCACTCGCGCGGCCCCGGCGCGGAACTGCGCGACCGTCGGGCACCGTGGCGGCGCCCGCTCGCGCGCGAGTGCCTCTTCCGCCCAGGATCTCACCAGCTCGCCGTCGCGGGAGTCTTGAGCCGATAGGGGCTGCGGTCGCCGCCGTCGCCGCGGTCTCGTCTTGCTTGTTTTCCGCGGCCTCGTCTCGTTCGTCGTCGGCTCGGGCCCCGTCTCTGTAGAGCGCGCGGCGCGCGCCCTCGGGGAACGGGCTGCGCCCGTAGGAAGCGACCTCGGCCCCGTTCAGGCACTGGCCCGCTGCTTCGCCAACTCCCGCGCCTGGCCCCGTCGACCCGTAGTCGAGGGCGGACGTCGCCATGTGCCCCGAGCGCAGCTCCGTGAGCGGCAATCGGTTCCCACCGGCCGCGCACGGGGCGACCTCGCCCCTCCCCCCGCGCGGACGCGCGCCTCCAGCTTCTTCAGGGCACCGCCCGAGATCAACGGGGGCGCGCCCTCGCCCACGAGGCCGAGGCGGACCACGACCCCCTTGCCACCCCATTCCATGGGCACCATCGCCGCCGCGTCTCTGTAGATCGCGCTGCCTGGCCCGAACCGATAGGGCTCGCGTTCCTTCGCCGTCTCCTGTCTCGGCGATCAATCAGAACGGTCCGCGGGCCCGCGAACGCGGCCTCCTCCTCGCGCGTAAGCTCCGCGTCGCCGACGGGCTGGCTAACCACAGCCACCGCTCTTCACCCGTCCTTGCCAGGGGCCCCAGGCACTCCGGGTCGCCCTTCCCGCGGCCCAGGCGGCCGCAGCGCTTGCGCGGAAGAGTCTGCGTTAGCCTCTTGACCACTCGGCATCGGCACCGCTACCTCCATTTGCGCCGCCGCGGTAGAAGTTGCGCGCCTTCTCCGCCTCGGCGCGGCCCTTCTTTGCCAGGGTCATCATCGCGGTGCTATCCGTCAGGATGGCCCGTAACTCCTCAGGAACCCCTTCGTGATCAGCCGCTTCTTCCCCCTGATCGTCCTCAGACTCCATCTCCTCGTCGTACTCCGCATCTTCGGGCCCCTCGCCGTCGTCCTCCGCGGCGCCATCAGGGTCGCCCTTCTGGCCCCCGCGCGCCGCGTGTACGGCGCGCCCCCCGCCTCGGCCCGCGGCCCTTCCTGGCCTTCGACGGTTCCAGTTCAGGCACTCTCGGTGGGCTCCGCCTCCGCCGCCCGCGCTTGGCGGCAGGGTTAACATCCCCCGCGGCGTCGATGCGCGGGGCAGGCGCAACTTGGCGGAGCCCCACAGCTTCGTGTAGACCAGTTCGGTGCCAGCGTCTGCGATGATATGGCTCTCCTTTTCGCCGTCCACTCGCAGCTTCATGAGGAAGTGGCGTGCCTGCAGGTGTTTGTTCAGAGGGTCGCCCATGGCCTTCTCGAGCTCGCGGATCTTCGTCTCGCAGCGCGGCTCGAAGGCCAGCGCCTCCTCGCTAACGTTGCGGGCGAGCTTCTCCACGAGCTCGCCAACCAGCGTGCCAACCTTCAGCGTCTCCTGCAGGTCGCACTTGCTGTGCAGGTAGCACAGGATCACCTGCGCGCTGTCGGGCACGGCGAGCGCCTCGGGGTCGAAGTTCCCCGCCTTCGCCGCAGCGCCCCCCTTGAGCCTGGAGAGCAGCCGACCGCCCCGCCGCTGAGGCGGGATCGAAGTGTTCAGCTCAAAAATCTTCACCCGGCGCTCGCAGGCACGGAGCGGCACCGACTTGCCGTCGCACTCGGGGACGTACTTCTTGTCTCACCAATCGCGCGTGTCTCCGTCTCCGGCGGCTCCGCCCACGGCACGCCAGCCGTCGCAACTCCAGGTCTCCGACCGTTCGCTGGACGACCGATCCCGACCCGGGTCGGCCCTGGCCTCCGTCGCCCACCCGTGCTGGGCGGGCGCCGCGTCCGGCTCCAGCCTGAGGGGGCCCCAGCGCCGCTGCTCCTCGGACCATGAACTTCCCCACTCACGCCAAGGGAGTCCGTGAGTGCCCCAGTCACTCCACGAGTCCCATCCGCCAAAGTAGCGCCGCGCGTCGCCCACGGGGGCCTCCCGCACCGCGGGGGGATCCTCTGGCACGCGCCGCAGTGTCCGCGTGCCGCGGTCGGCCCGCGCACCGTCGTCAGTCGATCGGAAAACGCAGTTTTCTGTGCCACCGGCCCGGGGACTACCCCCTTCCTCCGCGCGCCGTGCGAGGGCTCGAGCTGCTGCCGCCCAAGCGTCGATGTCCCTAACTGAGGACATGCTGCTTCTCCACTGGGGTCAGGCCTCGCTGAGGCTCCTCCGCCGCAACCTTCGCGGCGGCACTCCGTGCCGTGGATCGAACCCGCTCGACGGTAGCTCCGCAACCACAAGCGGTTATGCCTTGCTGCAGGCAGGTCAAAACAAGCAAAACCCTCCCTCCGACCAATTTCAACAACTAGCATTGACGTCATTATGTGCCTGCCCACCAGCGTGTTCGTCATCGTTCTGACCATCACCATCATCATAGTCATGATCATCAGAAACACCAGCATCAGCTTATCATCATCATCATCATCATCATCATCATCATCATCATCATCATCATCATCATCATCATCATCATCATCATCACCATCATCAATGATCAGCATCAGCATCATCAGCATCATCATCGTCATCTCTTTCGTCATCATCATCGTCGTCATCCCCAGCATCATCAGGATCATCATCGTCATCATCATCATCCGCATCAGCATCAACAGCATCATCCTCATCAGCAGCAGGATCATCGTCACCACCAACACCATCATCACCCTCATCGTCATCATCAGCATCATCTTCAAACCATCATCATCAACTGCCCCATCATCATCCTCTTCGGCATCATCATCATAAGCAGCATCACCAACATCAGAAACATCATCATTACCAGAATTAGAATCATTAGCATCAGCATCATCATCAGCAGCATCAGCAGCAACAACATCATCATCACCAGCATCATCAGCATCATCAGCAGCATCAGCACCATCGTTATTGGCATCGTCATCACAATCATCAATCTTATCGTCATCAGCATCAACACCCTCATCAGCATCATCATGATCATCCTCATCATCATCCTCATCATCATAATCGACATCATCATAATCGCCGACGTCGTCAGCATCTTCACCCGCAGCAGCGGCAGCATCGTCATCATCATCATCAGCATCATCATCAGCAGGCTCATCATTATCATCAGCATCATCATCGTCAACATCATCAGCATCATCATCATCATCAGCATCATCGTCAGCACCGTCATCATCATACATCACCATCATCCTCATCAGCATCAGCATCAGCAACATCATCAGCATCAGCAGCACCATTTTCATCATCACCCCCATCCCAGTCATCATCATCATCATCATCATCAGCATCATCGTCAGCACCGTCATCATCATACATACTCTTCATTGTCGTCAGCATATTTAGACGCAGCAGCGGCAGCATCGTCGTCATCATCAGCATCAGCAGCATCATCATCAGCAGCTTCATTATCATAAGCATCATTATCATCAGCATCAGCATCGTCGTCCTCTTTATCATCATCATCATCATCATCATCATCATCAGCATCATCATCATCATCCTCATGATCAGCATCGTCATCATCAGCAGCACCATCATAATTATCACCATCAGCATCATCATCATCAGCAGCATCATCATAATCCGCCGATCCGGCGTGTGAGTTCGAAAAAGCCTCGGCTACAGCCTACACCCTACAGCCTGAGCTTCAACTCTGCTGGGGGGGGGCCAGGGTGGCTCTGCCGGGGAAGGGGGGGAGGGGGGGGGGACGAGCTGTGATCCGTTTTCCGGAGGGGGTCCTGGGGCTTGTCGCGGCTACCCGCGTGTCTCTGGGGAGGGCATTTTTTGACACCCCTCACGAGGATCGTGCCTCCGAGGGGGTTCCGAACTCGAGTACCCCCCCCCCCCCTCCCGCCCCAAGAAGCTCCCAAGAGGCCCAAAAAAGCTCCCAAGAGGCCCCCAAAAAGCTCCAAGAGGCCCCAACGAGGCCCCCAAGAGGCCCCAAAGTGGCCCCAAGAAGCCCCGCAACTGCCTAAGAGGCCCGGGGGGGTCTCAAAACTGCCTCCCAGAGGCCCCGAAGAGGCCAACCACGAGATCCCAACCAACATCCATGAGGCCTCTGACCCACCACCCAGGCACAGTGGCGGGATAGGCCGAAGGCCACTAGATCCGCCGCCCCCTGTTGATTCATCACAGGGGTGCCTGGCGTGCTGAACTTCTTACGGTTGTGGTTTTGGTTCTTTTCCAAAAGAACTCTCCCAATGGGTTCCGGCGCGTCCCGCCGGGGTCCCGGGAGGATGCCAAAAGATCTTCCAGAGGTGGTTGCAAAGGGTTTTGCCGTTCCAGACGGCTCCAAGATGGCCCAAGATAGCCATCAGGATGCCTCCAAGACGGCCAAGATGCCCTCCGAGACGGCTAAGATGGCCCCAAGATGCCTCCAAGACGGTCCAAGAGGCACCCAATACGGCCTAAGGTTGCCTCAAGATGGCCCAAGACGGCCCAAGAGGCCCTCAAAGGGCCTCCAAGACGGCCCAAGAGGCCTCGGGTCCTCCAGGAAGGCCCGAAGAGGCCAAGATCGTTGATTTCCGTTGGGTTTTTGACAGATTTTGGCATTTGCGCCTTTTCGGCTTTCCGACGGCCCAAGACGGCCCAAGAGGCCCCCAAGATCGCCCGAGAGGCCACCAAGAAGGCCCCATGACGGCCCAAGAGGCTCCCACGACGGCCCCAAGAGGGCCCGAAGACGGCCGGCCCGAGAGGCCTCCAAGACGCCCACGATGGCCTCCAAGACGCCCAAGATGGCCTCCAAGACGGCCCCGAAGCGCCCCAAGAGGGCCCCGGCCCAGAAAGGCCCCCAAGACGGCTCCCGACGGCGTCAGACGTGCCAGGAACCCACCAAGATGGCCGAAGTTGGCTCGAAGCTGGCCCAAGACGGCCCAAGAGGCCCCCAAGAGGGCCTCCAGAAAGGCCAGAAGAGGCCAAAAACCTTGATTATCATGGGGTTTTTGACGGATTTTGACATTTGCTTCTTTTCGTCCTTCCGACGGCCCGAGACGGCCCAAGAGCCCCCAAAGATCGCCGAAAGATCGCCCAAGAGGCCTCCAAGATGGCCCCAGAACGGCCCAAGAGGGCCCCAAGACGGCCCCATGAGGCCGCCAAGACGGCACAGGAGGCCTTCAAGACGCCCAAGATGGCCTCCAAGAGGGCCCTGGAGCATTCCAATATGGCCCCAAGTCGGCCCAGAAAGGCCTCCTAAACGGCTTCCGACGGCGCCAGACGGACCAGGAGCCCACCAAGACGGCCGAACATGGCCCTAAGGTGGCCCAAGACGGCCCAAGAGGCCTCCAAGAGCGCCTCCAGGAAGGCCCGAAAACGCCAAAATCATTGATTTCCCATAGGTTTTTGAAGGATTGTGGCATTTGCTTTTTTTCGGCCTTCCGACGGCCCGAGACGGCCCAAAGAGGCCCAAGAGACCCAAGACACGGCCCCAAGAGGCCCCCAAGACGGCCCAAGAGGTCTCCAAGACGCTCAAGGTGGCCTCCAAGACGGCCCAAGAGCCCTCCAAGATGTCCTCCAAAAAGGCCCGAAAGGGTCAAAATGGCTTCCAGACGGCCAAGATGACCTTCAAAGATGCCCACGTGTTCCCCGAAGGCTTTCCAAACCGATTCGGGGAACACGTGGTCCGATAGCTTGGCAGGTCTGGCCTCAACGTTCGGCCACACAGGCGCTTCCAAAAACGCAGGGGGCGGCGGTGATTCGCCGTAGGCGTCTTCGATAAATGCAGAGTGAGAAGGGGAGGGGGGGAAAAGAGAGGAGGGACGAGGGCGAAGGAGGATCACATCAGTCAGAGCGCCCCGGATCGGCGGCACTGGCCGGAGGCCACTACAGTCATCATCACAAACGCTCATAATAATCATCATCCTCTTCATCAGCAACAGCATAATCAGCAGCAGCATGATCAGCAACATCATCATGATCTGCATCAACGCCAACATCATCATCATCACCACCACCATCATCAAATGCAGCAGCAGGGGTCATCATTATCATCATTGTCATCATCAACCGGATCATCAGAATCATCATCAGCAGCAGCATCATCAGCAGCAGCATCACGTCACCACCATCCATCACAACTGCATCATCATACACGCCAGCAGCAACATCATCAGCATCGTCATCAACATCAGCATCATCATCATCACCGTCAACATCATCATCATCATCATCATCACCAGCAGCATCATCGTCATCTGCAGCATCATCAGTAACATCATCACCATCATCATCTTCATCAACAGCATCATCATCAGCGCCCGCAGTAGCATCATCAACCAAATCATCATCCTCATCATCAGCAGCAGCAGCCTCATCATCAGCAGCATTCATCAGCATCACCAGCACCATCATCATCATAATTGAGATCATCATCATGATCAGCATCAGCATCAGCATGACCAGTATCAGCATCGTCATCATCATCAAAATCAACATCGTCATCGTCATTCTCATCAACACCACCATCATCAGCATCAACATCATCATCAGCATCATCACCAACATCTTCATCAATATCATCAACATCTTCCTCTTCCTCATCAGCATCAGCATCAGCCACCGTGTCATTATCAGCTGCATCAACATCATCATCAGCATCAGCATGACCCCCAGTATCATCATCGTCACCGTCATCACCGTCACGAGCATCATCACAATCAGCATCGTCGTCGTCATCATCATCATCAGCATCACCATCAGCATCAGCATCATCAGCATCACCAACATCATCAGCATCAGCATCAGCATCAGCATCACCCTCATCATCCTCATCATCATCACCATCATCATCATCATCACCATCTGCAATATCCTCAATACCACCATTATCATCATACCCCGTCCTCCGATGCCATCCTCACCTTGCACTGCCACCCTCGGAACCGAGCTCGAACGAGCCAAATGGCCTTCGGGACTGAGCGCGAACGACCCCGATCGCCCTCGGAATCCTGCGCAGACGCGCCAGATCTCCCTGGGTGCGATGCGCTAACGGGCGCGACAGAGGCGGATCGTCCTCAGGGCGATGCGCGAAGAAGCGCGGACGATTGCGAACGACCTGGGCCACTCTTTTTTTTGGTCGCGGCCGCAGGCGAGAGCGCAAGCAGTGAGTCGTAAGTCCGGGGCGCGGGCCTACTAATTGACAACAGGTGCAAACTAGAGCCGCGCACCTTAACTGCCTAAGCTGCCTAAGCGGCGCCTCAAGTGAGCTGCAGGCTGCACTGAGTGTGGATGCCAGGGCCAGGGGCAGAGACCTGGGCCACTCGCGCAGATTCGGGCATTGTCCCGAGGGTAATATGGGTCGTTCGCACATCGTCCCGCGTGCGCGCCTCCGCCTCCGTCTCCCCCTCCCCTCTCACCCACCCTGACTCGTTCTGCATCTCCTCCCACAATCCCCCTCCTCACTACCCTCTCCTTGTTCTGCTCCAACCCTCCCTGAACTCAGCTGTTCATCCCCTCTCTTCTCTCCCTTCCGCGCACCCTCCCTTCCTTTCCCATCCTGTGCATTATTCCTCCTTCTCCTCCTCCTCGTCCTCGTCCTCCTCCTCCTCCTCCTCCTCCTCCTCCTCTATCCCTTCTAGCTCCTTCTTGCCGGACCACCAGACGTGTCGTTAGGGTGGGCCAGGCGTTTCGCCTCAGGCGTCCTTACATCCTCCTCCGCCCCGTTCTCATTCGCGTCCCCTCCTCCTCCGCCTCCTCCGCCTCGTCCTCCGCATCTTCCTCCTCCTGCTCCTCCTCATCCTCCATCCTTCTCCTCCTCCTGCATCCGTCTCCTCCTCCTCCTCCTCCTCCTCGTCCTGCATCCTCCTCCGCCTCTTTCTCTCTCAACCACCTGCGCCTCGGATGACGAAGGGATGGAGACCAGGGTGGGGAGGAAGGGAAAGGTGAAGAAAGGGGCGAAGGACGGAGTGCAGAAGGGAAGGGGAGCGGAGAGAGGGACGGAGGAGAAGGAAGGAGGGGAAGGAGGGGACGGGAGGGAAAACAGAGGAGAAGGAGGAGGAGGACGAGGAAGAGGAGGAGGAGGGGGAGGAGGAGGACGAGGAAGAGGAGGAGGAGGGCGGCGGGCCTTCTGGGCGAATGTCAGCAACGCGGGGTCTGCTGGCGGGCTCGAGGCACGCACGTCCGAAGTACTCGCGGGCCAAGCGCAAGCAGAGGGAGACGAGAAACGGGCACTCCTCCTCCTCCTCCTCCCCCTCCGCCTCCCCCTCCTCCTCCTCCTCCTCCTCCTCCTCCTCCTCCTCACTGCGCCCTCCTCCTCCTCCTTCTTTTTCTCTTCCTCCTCCTCCTCTTCCTCATTTTCCTCATCCTCACCCCCCTCACCCCCCTCACCCTCCTCACCCTCCTCACCCTCCTCCTAGTCCTCCTCTTCCTCCTTCACCTCCTCCTCCTCCATCGCTGCCTCATCCTTGTTCCTCTTCCGCCTGCTTCCCCTATATTCCTCCATCCTGCTTCCTTGCACGAGACACCCCATTCTGACTCAATCATCCCTCCTCTCCCGTTACGTTCCTTCCCCCCGCATCCATAGCAAGCAGATGTCCCTGTCAATACCTATTATTCCTGCACCTCCTCCTCCTCCTCCTCCTCCTCTTCCTCCTCCTGGAACCGCCCTTTTCGCCGCCCATGCCTGTATCCTGCTTACTGGTCGTTCTTCACACGGCTGCCTCATTCTTCTCCTCTGCCTCCTTGTCATCTTCTCCTCCTCCCTCTCCAATTGGTCCCCATGATCCTCCTCACCATCTGCGCGCCGTCCCTCGGGGCGGAGGCCTTGGCCCTCTTCTTCCTCGTGCCCCGGCCCTGGCCCTGTCCGCTGCCGCCGCTGCCCCGATAGCCCTCGACGGGCGCATCGTTCTCAAGCATGTTGCCGAGGTACTTTGTCTGGGCCAGCACGAGCAAGCAAGTCTCCTCCACCTCATGCATGGTGCTAGAACGAGCTCTCCCCGACCAACGGTTTCCAGACCCGATCCCGCAGTGCTCGTGACGCGCACCTGGTAAGTCATGGCCCAGGGGTCGCGGCCGTAGCGTTCGTGGCACTGCCTGCTGCGCTTCTCGTAGGCGTGCGGGCGTGCGGGGCCGTTGAACATGGCACGTCCTGTCCTGAGCACGGCGTGGAATTCAGCCCACGCTTCGTAGTCGCAGAGGTCGCACAACTCCACGGGCGCCATTGTGCCCGACGGTGCAGCCGGGCCCCCTTCAGGCGGACCTTTTTCTGCAGCCTGTGGTAGGAAGGCGCCCAGACCGCCATTTCGGTGTAGGGGGGCCTCCCGCTCTCGATCAGCGAGTGGACGCACGAGAGCTGTTCGGACGAAAACACCGTCTGCTGGGGGGAGGGCGCCGATGCGCGCGAAGTAGCGGGCGCACGCCTCCGCGACTTCCGTGCTGTCTGGAACCTCGACCTCGCTGTCGACGGCGATGGACAGCTTGACCCTGCAAGGGCCCCGGCCCGCCCGTTCCACCCTGTTCGGGCCAGCGACGGGCATGGCCTGAACCTGGTGGCCAAGGGCTGCGCCCCGGCCAGAACGCGACACGCTTGCCCCAACAACCCACCTTGGCTTCTCTCCGCCGGCGAGGGTGGCGCAGCGCTTCCGCCGTCGCCCCCCGCTCCAGGCCCGGCCCTCGATGACCGCGCCGAAGTCTGCCAGGGGGACCGCGCCCAGGACTCTGGGGGTGCTCATGGCCTGTGACCCCAGTCGCGTGCACAGGCTTCCCCTGGCCGATGGGGGGGCTTCCTCCCACGAGTTCGGCCCGCGTCGCGGCGTCGCTAACTGCCGCTGTGGTTGCGGCCTGGGTGCTGGCTGGGCCGGCGCCGACGTGGCACTGAGGGCGCGGCTTGACTGGCACACCATCGATGAGAGTGGAAGCGGCGAGACTTGAGCCACAACGGCCACGGATGTCGCCTGTCTCTTCTGCTGCACCGAACAACATGCTCATCCGCCCCCCCACCATCTCCCGCGGATGTCACCACCACCACGCAGGCCCTGTTCGCCCTTGAAAACACGCTAGCTCCCGAACTCCTTCGTTGCATCCCATCACGTTCCAGATTCCACTCAAGCATATCGCCCGCATACGCTTATACTGATATGATTATGTTTTTTTCCCCATTCGAAAAAGAGCTGCAAACTGTCGATCCATTGGGTGACTTCGCCCCCCCCCCCGCCCCCCACGCAAGGGAAGAGCTGTGCGAACCCCCAGACCCGCTCCCCCTTGCAGAGAGAGGCGCGACAACCACCCACTCCCGTGCCCCTTGCCTTTCCCTTTCGCTGGCAAACTACGACGATGAAGGCAGCGACGACGTCGACGACGACGAAGACAATGACGACGACGTCGACGACGACGACGACGACGACGACGGACGACGACGACGCACGGGTCGTGGTGATCGTCGTCGTCGTCGTCCGTCGTCGTCCGTCGTCGTTTGCTGGCGCGACGGACCCCATCCCCTTTGCGCCAGGGGGGAGATGGCCTTCCCCGAAAGGGGGTGCGGAGGACGAAGGGTAAGGCGACGCCAGGACTGGGACAGAATTGGGTAGGGATCTCTGATATCCAGCGGTTCTGGAGAACATATTGGGCGTCGCCGCCGTTCCAGGGCGCTTGGGGACCTTCCGAGAACGTTCTGGAAAGCTTTGGAACGATTAGACCCTGGCCCTATCCCTGCCCGTGAGGGGCTGGGGGGAGGAAAAATATAAGAGGGGGAAGGGAGCAGGAGAAGGAGGAGGAGGAGGCTCCCCGCCTGGCGCCTTTCCACTGGCCAGAGCGTTTGTCTGAGAGCGCAGGCTAGACCGCACTCCGTCGAGAGGCCCGTTCGGGCCGATCGAATTTCTGGCTGGCGAGTCTCCACCGATTGTAAAGACAACAATCAAGGAATTATTCACTGCGTGGAGCTCCCCATATGTGCATCTACTCGCATGGACCTGTCCGCCGTGAATGTCTAGGCGCAAGAGCTTTCGAATATTAACGGGCTTCAGTTGTGACGGTCTGGACATCAATCTAACTGCGAATGAATTGGAGTGTGAATGAGCCTCAGTAGTACGAGCGCGTCTCTGTGCATGAGCCTGGGGCCTCCTGGGGCCTCCTGAAACCTACTGGGGCTTCCTGGGGTCTCCAGGAGTCTCTTGGGACCTCCTGGGACCTCCTAGGAAGGTTTCGTGCCCCAGGGGAGGCGCAATCTATAGCAACAGACGTACATAAAACATTGCGGATTAGAGCCACAGGAGAAGGGCAATCTATAGGAACACGCGTAAAACACCAAGGACTCGTGCCCCAGGAGAGGCCCAATACATAGGAACATGAGTAAAACATTTAGGATTGTGTACACAGGAGAAGGACCATCTATAGAAACATACGTAGAACATCAAAGAATCGTGCTCCAGGTGAGGCCCAATCGATAGGAGCATACGTAAAACACATGGGATTGGAGCCACTCCTGTTGCCTTCTGAGGCCTCCTGCTCCTGGGGCCTCTCGGGGCCTCCTGTTGCCTTCCGAGGCCTCCTGGCGCTTCCTGTTGTCTCCTGGGGTCTCCTGTGGTTTCCTGAGGCCTTCTGGAGCTTCCTGGGGCCTCCTGGCGCCTCTTGGGACATCCTGTGGCCTCTTGAGTCTTTCTGTGGCCTCCTGATGCCTCCTGGGACCTCATGTGGTCTCCTGGAGCCTCCTGGAGCCTGTTGGAGCCTCCTGTGGCATCCTGAGAAGAATCTGCGCCCACGAGCCTGGCCACCAAAACTAACAAACCGATCGAGACATCCTCAAAATCTGGCCCACCTGGGGGGTGAAAATGAGCGCCTCGCTCGAGACATCCTCCAAATCTGCTCCGAAAGCGAAGGATGTTGGGCACAGAAACAGGCAAACCGCCTGAGACATCCCCACAAAATGGCCGCGAACGAGCCCGTGCAACCACCCCTGGCGGCTCCCCTTAGGGGTGCTGAAATGAGCGCCTCGCTCGAGACATCCTCCAAATCTGCTCCGAAAGCGAAGGATGTTGGGCACAGAAACAGGCAAACCGCCTGAGACATCCCCACAAAATGGCCGCGAACGAGCCCGTGCAACCACCCCTGGCGGCTCCCCTTAGGGGTGCTGAAATGAGCGCCTCGCTCGAGACATCCTCCAAATCTGCTCCGAAAGCGAAGGATGTTGGGCACAGAAACAGGCAAACCGCCTGAGACATCCCCACAAAATGGCCGCGAACGAGCCCGTGCAACCACCCCTGGCGGCTCCCCTTAGGGGTGCTGAAATGAGCGCCTCGCTCGAGACATCCTCCAAATCTGCTCCGAAAGCGAAGGATGTTGGGCACAGAAACAGGCAAACCGCCTGAGACATCCCCACAAAATGGCCGCGAACGAGCCCGTGCAACCACCCCTGGCGGCTCCCCTTAGGGGTGCTGAAATGAGCGCCTCGCTCGAGACATCCTCCAAATCTGCTCCGAAAGCGAAGGATGTTGGGCACAGAAACAGGCAAACCGCCTGAGACATCCCCACAAAATGGCCGCGAACGAGCCCGTGCAACCACCCCTGGCGGCTCCCCTTAGGGGTGCTGAGTATGAGTAAGTCTGTGTATGAGTAAGTCTGTGTATGTGTACGTCTGGGTATGACTAATACTGTGTATGAGTAAGTCTGTGTATGAGTAAGTATGTATATGAGTATGTCTGAGTGTGAGTAAGTCTGAGTATGAGTAGGTCTGAGTATGAGTAAGTCTGAGTATGAGTAAGTCTGTGTATGAGCAAGTCTGAGTATGTCCGACAGGAGGGGACGAGAAAAGAGGAGGAGGAGGAAGGAGGAGGAGTAGGAGGCGTCCAAGTAATAACAAGAACCCCATCTTAGGATATGGAAAAAAATGCAAAATAAGGGCGGCGGATGGGGACAGAGGATGGAAGCTTGAGCAAGAGCGATGGCAACGGCATCGCGGCGGCCAGATCCTGCATGGCGGAACAAACACGTTTCGAACATTGGGGCATGCTCCCCGCCTGGCGCCCTTTCACTGGCCAGAGCGCATGTCTGAGAGCGCGGGCTAGACCGCACACCTTCGAGAGGCCCCTTTCAGGCCGATCGAATTTCTCGCCAGCGAGTCTTTATTACCCTGACTGGATGCCTGGCAGCCGACAGAATCCTGTATAGAAATAACACATTTTCACGAGGAGCGAAA